GTGTGTTTCAATCACTCGGTGAATATCAGAAGGCTAAAGAATATCACGAGAAAGCACTTGCCATCGCAACAGAAATTGGCGACAGAAGAAGAGAAGGAGCATCTCACAGGAAACTCGGAACTGTTTTTGAATCACTCGGTGAATATCAAAAGGCTAAAGAATATCACGAGAAAGCAATTGCAATCGCAGCAGAAATTGGCCACAAAAACGGTGAAGGAACATCTTACGGGTGCCTTGGAGCCGTGTTTCAATCACTCGGTGAATATCAGAAGGCTAAAGAATATCACGAGAAAGCACTTGCCATCGCAACAGAAATTGGCGACAGAAAAGGAGAAGGAGCATCTTACAGGAAACTCGGAACTGTTTTTGAATCACTCGGTGAATATCAAAAGGCTAAAGAATATCACGAGAAAGCAATTGCAATCGCAGCAGAAATTGGCGACAAAAACGGAGAAGGAACATCTTACGGGTGCCTTGGAGCCGTGTTTCAATCACTCGGTGAATATCGGAAGGCTAAAGAATATCACGAGAATGCACTTGACATCGCGGTAGAAATTGGTGACAGGGAAGGAGAAGGAAGAGGCTATATAAATCTTGGAGCTGTGTTTCTATCACTTAGGAAAAATAAGCAGGCTAAAGAGCATTTCGACAAAGCGCTTTCCATCAGCACAGAGAGCGGAAACAGGAAATGTGAAGGAGAGTGCCACGCAGGCCTGGCACGTTTTTTTTATTCGCTTCATGATTACCAGAAGGCTACAGAACACGATGGCAAAGCCCTTGCCATTAGCAAGAACATTGGCGATAGAAAAAGCCAAGGAAGAACGTACCTACATTTTGGTCATGTGTCTCTGTCGCTCGGCAATTATGACGAATCAGAAAAATACTTCCAGAAAGCGCGCTTGATAAGCAACGAAATTGGAGACATTATGACTGACTTTGAAAGCCTCCTCGGAATCACCTTGTTAAAGATATCGCAATCAGAGTTAGAGAAGGCAAAGCTGTATCTTTCTCAATGTATGAAAAAATATGAAGAGATGCGAAGTCTCCTCGCAGGAAACGATGACTTAAAAACATCTCTCTTAGAAGGGCGCGGTAATTTTCCCTACAAGTTGTTCAGTCAGTTGCTTTGCGTCACTGGAAGCCATCGAGATGCTCTCTATGTGGAGGAGCTGAGACGAGCTAGAGGCCTTGTGGAACTAATGGCAGAGAAGCTCTCAGTTGAAAGCCACATCTCAACTGATTCAACATCATGGTTTGGGATCGAAAACATTGTAAATAAAGAAAACAGCTGTGATATTTTGTACATTTCATATTGTGAACGGCACGTTCATCTGTGGGTTTTGAAAGCAAACGGAAACATTAAGTATAGAGTGAGCCCCGAAATGGAAATCGACGCTCTCATCGCTGTATCAGTTTGTGATGTGGAGGAGATTTTTAAAAGAAGTGCTTCCAGCTTTGGCGTTCTTATGAATGAGAATTGTGAGGATCGATCTCTGAATGACGACACTCCCATGCCCCATGAAGAGAGCCAAGCAACTGTGCGAGTTGACCAGACCAAAGCCAAAGCCCAAACCCAAAGAATTCTCCAGTTGTGCTTTGAACAGATCATCACTCCTGTACAAGATCTACTTACAGAGCCTGAAATCATCATTGTGCCAGAGAGTTGCTCGTACCGAGTCCCTTTTGCTGCCTTACGAGACGAAACAGCTGGAAAGTATTTAGCAGAGACTCACTGCATCCGAATCGTTCCTTCTTTGACAACTCTCGGGCTCATTCAGGAATGTCCAGCGGACTATCACAGTCAGACTGGAGCACTAGTGGTGGGTGATCCCATGGCTGTCGAAGTGCAATACAAAGGACGTACCTTACAGTTGAAACCATTGCCTTGTGCAAGAAAGGAAGCAGAGATGGTTGGTCGACTCCTTGGGGTTCAGCCTTTGTTAGGAGAGCACGCAACAAAGAAGGCGGTACTTCAAGCAATTCATTCAGTGAGTCTACTACACCTAGCTGCTCATGGTAACGCTGATAGAGGGGAGATTGCCCTTTCCCCTAATTGTGCCTTGAACAGTATTCCAAAAGAAGAAGACTACCTTCTGAAAATGTCTGACATTGCGAATGTTAGGTTGCGAGCTAAACTGGTAGTACTTAGCTGTTGCCACAGTGGGCGTGGAACGTTTAAAAAGGAAGGAGTCATTGGAATCGCTCGGGCTTTCTTAGCATCCGGTGCTCGTTCAGTGTTGGTAGCATCGTGGGCCATACAAGACGAAGCAACAGAGGAGCTCATGAATCATTTCTACGAACATCTGGCTGCTGGAGAAAGTGCTAGTGAATCCCTTCACCAGGCCATCATGTGGTTGAGGAGCAAAGGCTTCACCGAACCTTGTCAGTGGGCTCCGTTTGTGTTGATGGGAGACAACGTGACATTTGACTTAAAAAAATTTAGGTAAGCTTGTGCTTAATGAGTAATTTGTATAATAAAAGCTAAGTTTTTTCGTTTGTCTCACGATGTAGTCACATTTGATGTAGATCGCGACGTTTCGACTGCATACTGCTAGTCTTCTTCAGGCGATGAAGAAGTCTAGCGGTATGCAGTCGAAACGTCGCGATCTACATCATACGTGACTACGTCGTGAGACAAACTAAAAAACTTAGCTTTTATTGTTATTAACCACTATGAATAACCCCAACCTTTTTTACGAAATTTGTATAGTGTAACCTATCCTAGTTTCTTATGATTTTGTTGTGAACGGTGTTTTGGAGCCAAACATCTTGGAAATTTAGTGATTAACAGATTTCATACAGCACACAAAGGAAAGGTTTAGACGGTTAGTTAAATTAATTTGCCATGGCTCAATGTTATTTTTGTATGCAAAATATTTATCACTTAAGCTACAAATCTAAGTTTGAAGTGAGCAAAAATGACGAATTAGGTAGACAAGTAACGGAATAGATAAATAATTTTGAGCAGCTGAGGTTTCTTGGTAAAAAGAAGTGGACAACAACAACTAGATAATAGTGTGAAGGTGACTTCACTGGGTGTAGGCATGGTCCATGGTCCATTTGCTCTAAAGCCGAAATTGTTCCTCTATCGTGACGTGCGTTTAACTTCCTTCTTTACAAAAATTTTTTTTCGGGAAAGAACTGACAGATGATGAGAACGAGGCGGACAAGAGGCAGAGCAGAAACTGATCCGAGACAAAGACTCCTCTTCCTGCGCTGTGTTTGAAACTGGAAACTGGTGTTACTTTGACTCCTCTACCTGTGCTCTGGCCGAAACAGGAAACTGGTATAATTTGTACAGACATTTTTAATTTGGTTCCAGTAAACTATTTACTTTTGAATACTATTCTTTTGATTTCGTGAGTCACTCGCTAGACTCATAAGGTAGATCAATAGAGGAACAAAATAATAAGGATGAGGATTAAAAACACTAAGGACATGAGATAAATATTTTAAGATGCCAATATTGAGACACTTATTTTCCGATAGCGGTTCCTTAAATCTTTATTCTTTGAGGTCCATAGATTTAATTTGCGATTCTCGCTTCTAACTACGATGCATTTTATTGTAAAGTATGAAAGACAGACAATTTTGTATATGTTAAGAAAGCAATCCAAGGCTAAAGGTTTGTCTTTTCTGGTCATCTCTAAGCTAGATGAATTGTACTTACTATGGAGATAATTTGAAAGTCAACCTAGAGGAGACAAAAGGATTACTTCTTAAGTGTTTTAGGTTTTATTTTTAGATAGAGGTCACTGTAAGACAAAATTGAGATGATTCTCACTAATAACTGTAGTTGATGAGGATCGATTGTTAACAGTGGTCCGATCACGACCTGAGTACGATTTTTTGACAGGTAGTTGATAACAAGTCATGAAATGCCAGTCTTTATCGTTATCTAGTTGTTGTGCAGTGTTAAAAAAATGATTAATTCCATTTATTTGCGATCAAATTCCTTGACGAGTAACAAAGGACGAACTAATTTGCTCCGCTCCAAACATGAGGGGGACGAAGGTTCGAACCACTTCGAATCTTAATGTTTTGCGGCTTTTTTGTCCGACTGCAATTTCTACAACTGTATTTCTTCGGTGGGAATAATTCCGTTATTCCGCATTATCCTCAGGTCAAAATATCATTGATTTCACTTATTTTGGATCCAATCACTGTTAACTCTCGACTTGTGGCAATGCCTCCTATTTTCTAGAGTTTGAAACAGAACTTATGATCATTTGTGAATTTTCAGAGAACATGCAAAACAGCAAAATGCTCAAAAAGATGTTGAATTTTAAAGACGTTTGATTTGCTACTGATTTGATTGCCTCAAGAGAATACTCTCTTGATATTCACGTAAAGATAAATACCACTAGACTACTAGTTATATATGCTTTTTTTTTAGTATTTTTTAATTCCTCGGTAATAAAATTTGTTCTGTAAGCTGTGCTGTTGATTCAAGTATCCACATTTGTTTTTCTATGTAAGATATAATTTGTGACAATTGCTCACGGAAGGCGAAGGGAATGTTGGCTTACAATACTCAGTATGATATCAAGGGCACCATTTGAAACTATTCGCTGAGCCTTAAAATAATTTTTTTATTTTGATTTCCCAGGTGATTGAATGAGCGTCCAAATTTGTTTATTTATCAAGAGACAACAAAAAGTCGTGCGAAGGCCAAGTCAAAATTTTAGTGCTTCATTTTGTAGCACGCGAAACAGATTATTTACGAGTAGCTTACCGTCGAAAAGGGATATTGACTTTCAACTGCAACTAAACGTACAAACAAGTTTTCCTATTATTCAGAAATAACAGGAAAACACTCTCCGAACTTGAGTCAACTTTTCAAAGAAGATTTTCCTCGGGAGGCATATTCGGTCACGAGACGCATTTAATCCAGTTGCGCTCGATCGAGAGTATTGGATAGATTATGTTGAAATATGACCCAATCCTTGACTCTCTAGAGTGCGCCAAGCAAAACCAGCTGGAATAACACAACAACCTCCGACCAGTAATTTTGCCAATTTAATAAAACATTAGGCTGCTTTTTGTAATTCTGTACATCTGCAGTAATAGCTACTGGGGCAAGATAAAAATGGTACTTTTCGATGGATAGTCATATCAGATGGTTTTCACGCAAATTAGTACCACAGGGAGGGAAAAGGGGAAGGGAAGAGGTTACAACAGCCTCTTGTCTTTATTCTTTAACAATTACCTACGAAGTAACAAAACAAACAGAAAACTTGAAGCTCTCAGAGCAACAGCAATTTACTGCGACCCATAAAATTTTCAAACATAGAGGTATACTGAGAGTTTCAACGATCAGTTATATGGGGATAAAACTTATTGGCAGCTGTTGTTCCAGCCTTTGCCCACTCTTGTAATGAAACTTATACTAAGCTAAGCCTTTCTACAATAAAATGTCGCGTGAAGTAAACTTCCTCCCTTTGATAAAGCATAACAAAAAATTCGATGCTTAGTTTCTCTTTTTTACAATGATGGGTAAATTAATTATTCAAAAGGGTTAACAGCAGGTCACGCTTCTCGGTGAATCTGTTTTCTTCGCTATTTTATCAATGTGCTCATTTTATGGGAACACCCTGTCAATAATAAAATTCCTGTAACAAGACAAACTCTCCCGTAAACTTGAAGTACAGCCATACTGAAGTTTTTTCCTTTGCTTAAAGGGAACCCATGTGGTTCATACCCATGTCATTTTAGTTTATCATGTGCTTCTTTCCAGATTTTCTATGTATATTTCTTTAGGACTGAAATTTCCTAAAAAAAATGTGACCACGCCCCTTACATCAACCCTTTCATTCCTTTAAGTGATCAACATGTGAATTCTTGTTACAATTTTAAGATATTTAAGACAGCCAGATAGTGAGAATTTACAAAATCATAGACAGAAGTATTGCCCTGATAATACCCAAGATTCTCAGGAATAAACAACAAATAAATGTATGCCCATCTGTTGGGAGAATTGGTTCATGGATATTAAGAGTGAAATGTCTAACTCTGATTATTTTGAAAGACTTCTATGAAACGTTGTTATTACAATGTGGGATGCTAATGATTTTATCCTTCTTGTCCGAAATCTCTGGTGAAGTCTTCAAACTTTTTCAGATCCGCAGAGTTTACTGTCGGTTTAGAAGTTGCCAAGGATCGTAGCATGTCCGGCTAAAAATAGTCATAAGGAATGTCGTAGCTGTTAATATATCTTGAAAAGTAAGGATACCATTCACTAAGAAACACTGAAACTGCAAAATAACCAGTTGAAGCCTATGTGGTGCAATAACAGGGATTACTGTCTTTGAAAAAATTCCCATTCTTGTAAATATCTTAAAAGACTCATGATCAATCAGTCAGCTTTGTTTGCTTGCCCTTTAGTCTCTGGATGGTTGATTTTAAGCTGAAAATTTCTGCATGGCTGTCAATTGCCAATGCAATGCATCCCTAGTGATAATGAGCCTCTCACTTCCCACAAGCGAAGGAATCCCATCTCCTTAACCCTCAAGGAATGACTTGCATTTCATTTCCCCCTACAATATCAGCCCTGAATCAAACATTAGGGTCATGAGAATAAAGGAAATGATCGCTTAATAACGAAGCTCTTGATTATTAAACAAATTCTCCTTCTCAGCACCTTAGGAAATGTATAGAGAACGGTATGGAGAATATGCATACTGATGGAGAATTGTGAAGTAATTACCAGATTAACAACAGGCTCTAACAGCTTCTCTCCAGGTACTTGCATCCAGGTCATCTCTCTTGCACCTGGATCCCCTGCAAAGAAACAGGGGAAAAAAAACTTATGTCAAGATCTGGAGAAGTTGTTTTCCTTAACACTAGGGTTTATCCTTTTTGGAAAGGTGCACAGCAGAAGGAAGCCAAAAAGATGATATTGCAACCAAAGGGAAGGCATTGTAATAAATGATCATAGTAAAAATGATTGTAGATTTTATTACTAGACAAACATTCTCTTGTTGATATTCCAATATTTGTTCATCCAGCAAAAATTTAAAATTGTAAATCTCTTCCAAAAGCCTTCCATTCTTAAAACTCCTCCTGGTACCTGATTCAGAAGTGTTTTCATATATATTGTACTTGGGGTTGAGAAAATGCCCACAGAATGAGTAGCAAGGATGGGCAAAATAACCAGTTGACATAGGTCAAAATTAAGACAACATAAACCGGACAGGGAAAGTCTCCAGGACCCAGGATATCTTCATCAATGTTAAGGCCTTTTCTGACAAAATCAATGCATGAAAAATTTCACATGATCAAGTGTCAGTGGTCAAAACCATCAAACTGGTTATTGAGGATTTTCTCATTCATCTACAGCCTGCTTGTTCAGACAAATGCCTAAACTTTCAGAAGTTCACATTAACCTTTGGTGAATTTGACAAAACAGAGGAACACAATAAAATAAAAGATATGGATAAGAATTTGAGACTATTCAATCTCAACTGTAAAACAAAATTTCCACATAAATACCTGGTGAACATGGTGTTAGGAGATCATCTGCTATGACTTCTGGGTTTTGTGGGGAGGGACCCCTCGCCTTTTAAAACCACACAAATAAAGAACAGTGACAAATTAGGTGCAAAGAAAAAGAGAAAATCAGCAAATGTCTTCACACTGATCCTTAACTTAGGGGAAAACAGTGAATTTGGATTTTGATGTGGGAGGTCTGTGACAGGAGAGGTAGTGTACATTACAGAACATTTTATTCAAGCAACAGAGGGAAAAGAAGACAATGTTTAGCTTTTTCAATTGGTGCTCTCAAGTACTTTGACTTGATAACTGAAGTAAAATATTTTTATGCCTGAATTTGAGAAAGACATTATACAAACCAGTTTAAAATGTGTTGCTTGTTGTACTTTTCTGACCGGCTGCATCATAGCATCACGCACAACAATGCTGATGTCTGCACCCGAATACCTGAAATCATGGGGAGAGCGTACATAGTTTTAAATCGACAAGTGTTGACAAACAAGTGCTAACTAAGATTTGTAGACTTGGATATTAACCCTTTACACCCTAACATCAGAATGCATATTCTCCAAACTGTTCTCTATGCATCTCCTAAGGTGCTGACGAGGAGAATTTGTTTAAAAATCAAGGGCTTTGTTAGTTGGTGATCGTTTCCTATATTCTTGGGACCTTTATATGTGATTCAGGGGTGACATGATGCCAGTCACTCATAGGGGTCAATGTGTGAAGCTTTCATGCTGCAAAAAGTGGAAGATTCAACAAGGCTTGCATTTTAACTTTTAATTATCCAATATTGATGATCCTTGATTTAATGCATATCAAGACTGACCAAACAGTAATTTTTTCAGGCATGTAATAAAACTCCACTGCCAAACTTAGAGGTAATAGGAACAAAGAAAATAAAACTGGAGAACATAGTTTGATTTATTGAAAAAGAAAAATCCTTTGAACTAACATTCAAGAAAATTAATGCATGACAAACAGACCTTGGAGATTTGCAGGTTAAATAAAAACTATATTTAATCTATGATCCTGAGGTTGTTTATCCCAATTAATAAGTTTGATTGTCCTCACCCTTCAGTTTTCTCTGCTAGATCCCTGAATTCTGTGGATTGAATACAGTGTTTGATGTTTCCCATATGTAGCTCAAACATCTTTACCCGAGCTGATGCCTCAGGTAATGGGATATAAATCCTTTTTTCAAATCTAGAAAAGATGTTGAGGAAATTACTCCAATTTTCCATAAAATGCAGAATATTGAATATATGTCTTGATAATGATTGACAATACTGACAAACTAAAACTTGTAAGTTTGGCCTTGAACTGCAGAGATTTTGTGCCTGTGAAAGGTGTAAGAAACAAGGACTTCTTCCTTTTTTTGCTTGGATTTTTTTTTAAACACACTAAAGAATCAGTATCATCATCACAAAAATCTAAACTGAATTCAGTGGTCAAATACTTAAAGGTTTCACACACAAATTCACAAGTATGAACCCCTTATAAGCGCAAGTATGCTTTGCGACAATAATTATAAAGAAATGCAAAATAATATCCTAAAGTCATGTATAATATACCTTCTTCTAATAGCAGAGTCAAGAGTCCATGGAATGTTTGTTGCTCCCAGGACAAGTACATCTTTATTATCAACTCCAACACCTTCAGTTAAAATGTAACAGATTAAACAAATTATCAAAAACTTGTGAAGCCTTTTTTTCCTGCAGGCCCCAAGAAGCTTGAACAACAAAAACAAAAAAAGAACTCCATTGTAAGGGGAATTCAAACTTTTCCAGTGGTAAAAAAAACAATATTTGTCAAAAAGAGAGAAAAAACTTGAAAAAAAGGGTCTTAGACAAACCCTTATTTGATTTTCTTAGAATGAGAGGAAATGAAAAAAAAAACCTGGAGAAAAAGTTGCCAGATAATTATTTCTGATTCACAAAATGGTGTAGGAAACATTTACTGAAATAAGCCTTTGAGTCATCTTTCTACATGTACATGCACTCTTACTGTTAAAACAAAATAAAAAAGGAGAACATATGTAATACTAGAATCAATGTAAACTATTCCAATGTTATGCTTTTCGTAACTGTCAGGGATTTATTTTCCCTCTTTTTCAGGCCACATTCTAGACAGCAAATGCTTTATTTACACTGACTATAGAACCTAATCCTTTCCCTGCTGATTTTTAGAAATTTCAAGGTAAGATATATGTTGTTTTTATAAGACTTACCTTGCATTTGAACCAGAAACTCTGTTTTAATTCTCCTAGCCGATTCACTTTCATTTTCGCTTCTTGAGCCACACAAGGAATCAACTTCATCAATAAAAATAATGGCTGGTTTATTTTCTCGTGCTAATTCAAATAGGTTCTTTACAAGCCTGAAAAAGTAAGCAGATGGGTATTAGGCATGATTGGAACTCCCATGACTGACCAAGAAAGAACTTCTCCTAACACTATCAATATAATATCAGGCAGACAAGAGATGAGAATAAAGAAATCCATTAGGGGACTACAAGTTGATCCAATACCAAATTCTTCAAACTCACATCATATCGGTTGTATAGCAGACAGTTGAGAGAATTAGTAAATGAGATCTTGGCAGTGAAAGGGTTAAAATGATTGGACAGGCATGGAGTCACAATGGCATTGCTTACCTCCAGAAAACATTCATTCACACTAATGGAAGTTAATCCTGCAACATGTACTAATTTTTTCATGAGATTGTTTTTATTGATGGTTAGACCCAAAGAGAGCTCAGAGAAGAAAACTGTTTGAATCACAAGAAAAGGAGACATATTATATTACAGTTGCTTTAATTATATATCAGATTGGTTTGAGAAAGAGTGACAAAAGTTTTCTGAACCACTAAGTAAAGCAAAACTAATGGTACCCTGGATTACTCAATCAAAGGAAATTTGCAAAATTTAAAATTTTTTTTTCTCAAGGAGGTCTGTTGTATAAACCATGAGCCACAGTTTTGAGTTTGCCTGATGTCACTGGGTAAATCAATAAATGGCCAACATATCTTCCTGCTTGTTTTCAGTGGATTTATATATAAGTATTAGACACTTGAAATAAATTGGATAAATTTTCATCACAAGCTAGGAAAATTAACTAATTGACAACTTCTACATGGAAAACATTATGTTTTAGACAGTACCGTTCACTTTCTCCAAGCCACTTAGACACTAGGTCAGATGATGAAACAGATATAAATGTTGAGTTGTTTGCTTCGGTTGCTACTGCTTTTGCTAAGTAGGATTTTCCTGTACCAGGAGGCTGTAAAACAAAATGGAAACTGTTGTAATATATCTCTGTCTTATTCTCCTGTTAGGTAGTTGAAATTGGTTACCACAAAATGTTGAGTTCATGGCATTGGCAAATGAATTGGTACATGTATCTTACCCCATACAGCAAGATCCCACTCCATGGCCTTCGTTTTCCTGTCATTCAAAACACGTGATAAATCAGTGGGTATGATATCTTAAACAGTCTAGACTTGGGCAAGACAGAGACCTACCTGTAGTTAAGCTTCCCTTGAAAGAGATTATCCTTAAGAAAATTCTAGTTATCACAAAATGAAGCATAAAACATCATGCCCACAATTTACAATAGGCCTTCGCATACTGTATCAAGTTATTTGCTATAACCATAACTCTGGCTTTTTGTTGATCTCAGATAATCTAAACTCGGCTCTCTATCTTAAGCTTAACAGTGTAATGTGCATAAACCAAATTTCTGGAGAGATAAAAACTTAATTGATAAGTAAAAACCAATTTGTCATTTATCAATAACCTCATGTGCTGTTTTTAAAATACACAATTTTCTGCACCCTCTATTTACCTGTGGATTATGGACTCCAGTATCAAACAATATATGGTTTTTAAGTCAATCTATGTTGCTTATTTTATCACAGTATCAAATTGTCTGGATGATGTGCATACAAATAGCAGCAAAGGGTAGTAAAATTTAATTTCCAAAATTTGAAGTAAAAGTGAAGGCAGTTGCCTTGTTAGTTACCTGTGAACAAATGAGGGAATTTAATTGGTAGAATGACAGCCTCCTTCAGGGCTTCCTTAGCTGAGTCTAACCCAGCAACATCAGACCACAGCACTTTGGGTTTTTCCATTACAATGGCACCTTAGAAAAGAGAAACAAATCCAGTTCCTCAAGAACAATTCATAAAACACCAAAAGTCCTGCAATATTTTTAGCAAGTTTTGGTGATTTACAAAACTGTCTTTAACCTAAAGGAGAAATATAATACTATTAGTTGCATAAGAAAGAAAAAAAATAGATAAAAATACACCAAGGAGGACTGAGGATGGTCAAGACTGGACAAAATGAATTCAAAGTGGATTGAAAATGATACATATCCTACAGTGCAAATGGACAAACCATGAGAGCATTTGAACACATCTCATAACTTAGACAAGGAGTACCAGAAAAATTAGCTGTAGAGCAAATTACCTGAGACACTACTGAAAACTATCTGTACAGCACAGTAAGAAAAAGAATGTGGAAACAGGTGTAAGACAGATTAAGATGTTACTACTCACTGTTTAGTTGACCCTTGAGTTTTTTTGCTTGTGCATCGTCTTCATCATCATCACTGTTATCGTCTTTGTTGCCATCTTTGCCACTGTTGGAAAAAATGAAGAACACATACTTACATGTTTATTATTTTTTTAATCCCTTCACTAGAAGAACTGACCTCAGAAGAACATTTCTCCTTTCAACATCAATTAATTTTCAAGCAGAAAGAAAAAATTTCAAGAAAGGGGAAATTGTTTGATTAAACTCAGTGAAACTCAGACAGTGTGGAGAACTGATCCTAAGAATGAAAGGGTTAGTCATTGACCCATAAAAATCAAAAGAAAAGTGGAAGACTATCGATTTAAATCTAATTTTTGGCTCCCTTTTAACCATTCATTGAGAAATATAAAAATTGATGAATAACAAATTATTATCTCTTTTAAGAGACTATTAAACCAGGTAGCTGGATAAATTTACAATACATAATGAAGCAGCATACAAAAAATAAATTTATAATAAATTGTAAAAAGTTAATTTTAGATAAAAAATCAAAGTGATCTACAAAACTCATTTAGCCCTACTAGCATTCACAATTTCCTTTTAAATAAAAGGTATATAATATTAGATATAGGTATGTTTTTAACCCTTTAACTCCCATGAGTGACCAAGACAGAATTTCTCCTTACAATACCAATACAATATCTACCAGATAAGTGATGAGAATAGAGAAAAATATCAATTTGGGGATAATTAGTTGATCCAATGCTAAATTCTCTGAGTTAACATTATGAGAATTGTATGGTTGAAAGTAAGGAGAATTACAAATTTGATCTGGGAGTTAAAGGGTTACAGGTTGTTCCCACACAAGTAGAGTAACCAAAGTAGCAAAAGCAAATAGCTTTATCCAAAAAGGTATATATAATTTATATTGTCTTAAAAATGCTAATTCTCTCTTTACTAAATGTGATTGTGAGAATTTGGGGCTTCTTTAGGCCAATCTTTCTCAAATTTTCTCTGTTGAAATAAAAGTTACAGACCCTTTATTATTTTCTTTTCCTCCTCCTGATGATGCAACAGGTTTCTTTTTGTTTTTGCCTTGAAGACATGTCTTTAGTTTCTCAGCCCTATCAAGGTATTGAATACACTTTTGTCTGATACTCTCCTTGGACTTATCTCCATGAGCTTCATCTAAAGTTTCATAAAGGATGAGAAAATAAGGAAAAAAGTTTTACAAGTTGACCACAATTAAAAGTATTAGGTAAATAATTGACTTCAGTTCTAGTGAGCTTTATGATAACCTCCATAGCAAATTCTAAAAATTCCATTTTCTTCCCTTTTCTAATAATCCTTGAACCAATCCTATATAAAAATTCTGAAATTTGTCTGTCAATTCTTGTTTAGTAGACACACTTGTTACCTTTGATCAATGCACAACAAAATTCTTTCCTCAAAATTTCAAATGCCCAGGGAGTTATGCAGGGGTTGCCTGGGGGTAGAGGATGTTGAAGTTTCAAATTGATTGAAGTATAATTACAAGAATTCTATGTTGCATAAATTTATTGTGGAACTTGCTTGCAGGGATTTTATCAGGAAATAGAGTACAAAGAAAATAGTTTCGGCACCTGGAGAACATTCTCCATTTCTACATAAAAAAAAAAAGACTAAGGCCATCCAAACTCTGAACGAGAATTTGGTTCAATAGCTGGAAAGTTCTCGGATCTTAGATGCCTAAAGAATACTCTTTACTTGCAAGAGAGAAATTTATTCTGGGCAAGTAACAGTTTGAGAGTTCTTCCTCTAAGAGCAAAGATAGAGTCATGAGCTTACAAGTATTAACTAAAACCTACCAAGGTTAATTTTGTTTTACATGACATTAGGTGATTGGAACCATTTCTACTCCTTATGGAAGGTAAACTAATCTATCTCAGCAAATTTAAAGTAATGGATGCAAATAACAGTATATGTATAAAGCACCTGTAAAATAAACTGCATTTTAAGTGTCACACTTTTATAATACAGAATCACTTTGGACTTTTGAGCAGTTTATGTTCAGTTTTTTTCCTGCTCAGTTTGTGTGATGATATCACTCAGGAAACAATTACCATTGTTTTTCACAATAAAATGAGATTCAAATATAGAAAACAACACAAGGGGTAGTTGCATGAACCACATATTACACACGGCCTTAGTTTCGCTTACAAGTGGAACTTTTGGCGGCCACACGAATCACAACTCAATTAGTTGTAAATTTAAAAAGGAACTACTGATTGACAGCAGATAAAATGCGTCTGAAAAATAGCAACAGAGAGACCTCGCGTACACCGAATGAAATACAGAAGAACCTCTTTCAAACGAAAAACAAATAAGAAGTGGAAACAGTTAACTTCGTAAAAATAATCTGTACTTACATTTTATGGCATGCAAAAAATATTCCACACCATGTTCATAGAGTCGAAGAGCCTCTTCGTAATTTCCAGCTTTGTCCTCATCTGTAGCCTTAGTTACAATCTCTATAGCTTTCTAAAAACATGACAAAAGGACACGGTAGATTGAAAGCTTGAATGTTGCTTAAGGCGCTAGAACTAAGTGAGACACTTTTGCAGGTTTTCCTGAGTCGCCACGGCTTTCGATCTCATTTTTTTATGACAATTTAGGAAATCTGTGAAACAAAAAACCTTTTGAAAAGCAAGTAACAAGTTCACCTTTAAAGTGCCTCCCTCTGACATAGCTGCAGGTTAATCAAAATAGCCCAGCAGATGAAGCAAAGGAAAAGAAATCCTTCACTGATCGACAGGAACTTACAAAAGCTAAAATGGCTGCCAAACTAGGAATACCGCTGGTCAGTTTTTATATCCTCGGGTTTGACGTCAACCTCCGAAAATAAAAACTTACTGACGTCATAATAATTTTCACGTATGATATATCGAGTTTATGATTTAGATAGTGTACTTCACTCGGGCTGATATCTTTGGTATTCATGAGAAAATTTGGCTAAGCTGTGGCAGAGACCGTAAGCCTCCTGATCAAAAAGGAAAAAAAAAATGCCTCTTGGGCGCCCCGCTCCCTGCCGCGCAAACTTTTTCTTCGATGAAATCTCTCTTAAGATGGACCAAGCAAGTTGATTTAGAGAGGAAAATGAAGGTTCCAAAAAAGAGAGAAATAATAGCCTGAAAGTGAGAGAAAAGGGTGAAGACAAAAGGGAAGATGGATAAACGGGAACAACTCGCCCTTTTTGATGATCTCCCACTCATACCAATGTTCCGTTCCAATTATTTCGGATGCGGGGAGTAAACTTTTCTAGCAACCTCAGTTGTTATCTAATGGTCTTTTACCATGTTATCTAATAGTCTTTTACTCCCATCTCACCCCTGTTCATCCCTTCCACGCAACCAAAGCCGATTTTACTGTTGTAAAGACAATAACATTTTTTCTGTGAGGGCAAATTCGGAGGAGTCTATGTCTCTAGCGAAGTTACGACATGCTTTGCAAAGAATGAAACACATACATAATTATTTTTAGTGTTCATATGGTTAAAATTTGAGGCAAAGGGAAGTTATAGAAAAAAGGATGGAAAGTTTTCATACGAGGTGTACAAAAAGGGTACCATTTCTTCCGCTTGGTAAAGGTGCAATACACAACAAAAATCCGAACACTCCCTATATGTATCCAGAAGGCTGACAGTTAGCAAGATATTCCTGATGCTCAGAGATTATAAAGAAATCCAAAGAATCCGAGAGAAGAGTAAATGATTGTATTAAACTTCAATGAAATTTTCTTTCTTTCTGCTGCTTGGTTCTTCAAAGCAATGGTGAGGTCGTTTCCGAGTGTAAATCGACGACGGAAACCTCACTTTAAGTTCACACCCAAAATGCCTGGCGCTTACAACTTGGAAGTGAAAATGAAAGGTTGGCAAACTTTCCATTTGTCCAGTACCTGTGCTCGTTAAAGAAGAATGTGAACTTGTAGTGGACGGTGAACTGGATCTCAAACTTTTTCCTGATGAGCAAGTTTCCTAAACCAATAGAATACAAATCATAGAGCATGTTAAAGAAAAACCAATGCAATTCCAGATAAGTTTCAACTCCCAGTTGAAAGTTGCTTCAAAATTCGCTGCAACACACCATTTCCGCATGTTACCCGGTAAGAGTCACTTTTCGCCCAGTTTCCAAACCCATGTTTTGAGAGTAACACATAAAAGAAATGAGTAAATTTTCCAATGCTAGTATATAGTTGGTCTTTATTTTGTCAAAGTGATAGACAGTGATTGATTCAAAATCCTCCTCAACATTCTGCGTCCCGAAGTTTTAAGTTTTACGGCTTCTGTAAACGTTTTCTTTTTCAAGCCCAACGGGTTAAAGATTGAGACAAAGCGTACCCGACCACTACATGACTGTTACACCACATAGTTGTTCTTTGTGCATGTCATGAGCAGCGGACAATGCCATTAGGCGCCATTTTGAAAAACAAAGCTGGAAAACAGTGTACTTTTTTTTGGGCAGCGATCGAGATAAAATTTTGTCCAATATTGTTCCGCTGTATCGGGATCAATAGTATTATTTTGTAAAGAAGGCAGTAAATTAAGATGGAATGCGTGAAAACTATCGATGGATTTATCAAAAACTCACAATCTACGAGGAAATCTCCAACTTCACTTCTTTTGAGACCAAGCTGAAATAACAAAATGACAGCCAACAACAGCGAAAATTGTGGCTATGATGTTGTGTCTACTTCTTTCCCAAAGGAGATCTGTTACATAGATGCACAGATAAACAGTCTGCTAGACGTACATCTAGATCCACGATTACTCTCCGTAAATCTACATTGCAACAATATTTCTGTGATAGAGAATCTTGACAGACTGCAGCACCTTAAACACCTCGATCTGTCGTCCAATCGCATCACAAGAATGCAAGGGCTTGGTGGTTTGATGAGCCTAAAAACCCTCAACTTATCCTGCAACGAACTGCGTGTAGTTGAAGGATTGGATAGTCTAAGGTCCTGCTTTGCTTAATTTTTTTTTTGAAATGTTGCTGGGGTTAGGGGAAGTAGGAGAGTTCTCAAGTCTAAATATGGCAAGTTAAGGCATGCTATTAAAAGATAATGGCCTAGTCTCTTTGCAGCTTCTGCTGTTTATATAACAACTATTCATCTCAGTGATGGTGTCATTGGTGGATATTTACTGAACCACAAAGCAGTGAGATAATAGAGCAATTAGGGATGATTTTAATTAATTTATTTTTATGTGACGATCACAGTGTTTTCAGTTGTAAGTTGCTGGGAGGTGAATAGCAAAGAACATTTGGAGTTTGAGTAGCCAATGAGAGTGCATCTTCAATGCCATTAATAATTGCTGATATCAAAACAAAGTAACTTTCTCTTCATAATTATTGGATCTTCATGATTCTCTGATCCCATTCCCTAAAATCTGAAGCAAATATTTAATGAGACACTATTATGATATTGAAATGCATTTTGGAAATATAAAAGATTATCAGTTCCAAAGTACTTTTTTATGGGAGTGGCAAAAGAAAACAGATTTGGGAAATTTGTCTCACCAGGGAATGTTTGACTTCTTAAACATTTTTATTAATTTGTTTCCTTGTAGGAATCTGGTTAAGCTGGATTTATCCTACAATGTAATCTATGATCTCTCAGGCCTAAAGAAAATTCATGGATCCTCCTTTAGCTTACGAAGCTTATATCTCCATGGAAATGAGCTTAGTTCACTGGATCATTTAATTAACTGTCTTGCTGGATGCAGAATGCTTCAAGAGTTGACATTGTCACTGTATGGGGAAGCCAACCCTGTTTGTGAAATACCAGATTATCGATCCAGTGTACTGGCTTCACTGAAAAATTTGGAAGTGTTAGATGGCCAGGACAGGACTGGGAAACCAGCAGCAACAAGGGACAGTGTGCTTGACATTCCAGGTTGAATTCTTGGTTTTTGTTTATTACTTTACTCACCAGATTAAATGGGCAGCATCTATTTATTTTGTAATGTTTCTGATGCAGTGGTGTTTATATTTGCACAAAAATGAACAGAAAGCTTTTATGTCTCCCTTGCCTGTGATAAATTTAACAGTGATGGTGTATAGTACTGAGATGAATGATACTATAATCCTTGAGTAAATGCCTCATGTTCCTGGTATTCTTAGGTAAATTTGTCTCCATCTTAAAAGAGGGATATTGATTAATGTTATTTTTTAGAACTGACTTTGCTGGGATGGACTTTCTTATAGAGAAAACTAATTTTTTTGTTATTGACAATTAACAGAAATGGATGACTATCTGGAATATTTAGAATCAGAAAATTCCTCTGAAATCCCTAGTGTAAGTAAATTCTAAAATTTTTTTTAAGTATAATTAATGTATTCTTAAACATGTACAGGTTAATTGTGTTCTTGAAATTGGAGTGACTGTGACCCAGAAAACTATAATTTGTTCCTTCTTTTTCCAGAAAGAAACAAAGTATGAAGTTTTGACTCCAAAGATTGACTTGGCTCTGGACAGATTCAGGCAACGAGGACCTCTGTCATCAGAAACTGACACTGGAGAGGAGAAAAGAACTGAGAATCCCACTGAGGTTTGCACCACATTACATACCCTTTGGATTTTAAAATAAAAGATTTTCCATATAGGCAGAAACAGCAAAGAGAAATAATAATTTAAAGAGAATTCAAAAGTTCATATAAATATTATGCTTATTATAAAAGGTGACTGGGGAGATGAAGAAGCCTTCTAGTAATACCATGGTTGTAACTGGATCAAAAGTCTTCATAAAACTTAGAAATCAAGTTATGTATAATTTGATTATAAATGTGTCATTTAGATGAAAAAGAAGTGCTTTTGTTGACAAACAATGCTTTAAATCTTACAGGTTGTAAAAGTTGAACAGGGCTGTAAATAGACAAATGAAATAAGAAAAAGAACTTTAGATATGCCACCTTCCCAGGGTGGTTCTTTGTCCACCGTTTTTCCAATTTAATTATAATTTGGAGAGCTAGTTTTTCTTGGAGACAATAAAACTGAAAACCTGGAGGAAAGTCTTTGGCGAAAGATTCGGCCTGCCACAACATCAATCTGCATGTGATGTCAGGAGCAGGAATGAAACCCCAGACCAAACCTGTGGGAGGGAAGCACACTCACCACTGATCCATCCTTGCTTCTCTGTTTTTTTCATTAGTTTTCACTTTGTTTTTCAGAGGCCAGCTGTTAAAGTAAGCCTGTCAGCTGATCATGAGATTCGTTTAGAGACTCTTGAACATCAACTTAACCGTCTGATTCACAACACAGTAAGTTATATGCTAATTACCCATCTAAGTTCAGTTGTGCAAAGGGGAGATAGCACTATCCAACTGATAAATTGCTATCCATTAGGTAAATGATAACAAAATGAACTGTGCTATCCAATGGATAGAGATTTCTGCAGTGGAGAGAATTATCCAACCTTTAAACAACTGGGGCCTAAAGACATTGAAATGATTTAGTTGGACTGAAAGGATCCTTTACTATAAGGAGATGTCCTCCAAGTTTCTGTAGAATGTAGAACTTATAGTTTTTTGTTAATTGTCACTTTTTGGGGGATGTAGTTGGGACAGTCCTGTGTAAGATCTAATAGGGATCTTTTAAAATTGTTAGAGGACTTAAATTTTTAAATTGTCCAGAGGAAATGAAGATTTTGTGACAATGAGCCAAGACCTATGTCACTGTGACTTGTTCTAGAGCATAACCCTTAAGGAAGCTTAATAGTGTGAACCATCCATCAGATAAGAGTTATTTATGGTACATGTTTGGCAAGGAATTTTGAATCCTAGGGGTCAACAAATTTATTCTTGTGGTGAGAGAAAAAAAAACATGGTGCACATGGAATATAAATGATTATTTTTTTGCAGGAAAGAGCACAGGTTTCAAGGCAGATCAGAAATCCAAGTGCAGAGCCTGGTAGGTTTGAAGGTAGCAGGAGGATGATAACATTTATCTTGTCCAAATTTTTAAATGTATGGTGGTTTTGGAAGTGTTCAAGTCCTTAGGTACTAGCTGAAATAACACAAAGTTGTTTTCCCTTATCTAGACCACATCACAGACATCAGTGAATTGTGAATTATTAAAGAAAGAGAGGGTGATAGGGTGCTGTTTAACTGTAGGGTCTAAGGAGGCTGTTGATGATAGGGTGCTGTTTAACTGTAGGGTCTAAGGGGGCTGTTGATGATAGGGTGCTGTTTAACTGTAGGGTCTAAGGAGGCTGTTGATGATAGGGTGTTGTTTAACTGTAGGGTCTAAGGAGGCTGTTGCAGATGTGCTAATACCAGTTTAGATGTGTACATGCACAGATAAACACAAAACAAATAGTTGTAGGCTGCTTTCTCCCTTAAAGCCCCAGAGTGTTGAAGGGAACAAGTGTATAATGTACCTTTGAATGGGGGGAAGGAGAAAGACACACTGTCCCCAATCACTTTCACCAAAAAGTCCTCCATCCATAACCAAAAAAAAAAAAGGTAATAAAATGGCTTGCTATTTAGTCTCATGTTAAAGAGTGCAAGCACATATCACATGATGTTGTTATTCTCACTAGATATTAACCAATCAGCTGATTCTGAATCAACTGAACAGCCAGACAAAAAGAAAAAAGAACAACTTTCATCCAAAGCTAAAAGAAGTCAATGGGTTCCAGTATCAAAGAAGCCAGGACAGACAAAGACACGCACCAAGCCAGCGGTTCATGTCACAGTGGAGTCAACAAGCTCCACATCACCATCAGATGAACAAGTGAGAAATCTGATGATAAAAGGCAAGACTGCATTGAAGGGGAGGACTGTTAGGGATCCTAAAGATGATGAGACTTTCCTGGTCAGTGAATTATCTCTGTTCTTTAAATTTCAATTCCTTGAACCTCTAACTAACAAGATCGAATAAGTAATTCTCCCTTCAAGCTCCTGTACAATTGTTTTTTAATTAACCAGGAGAATTTGCTGTTATATCAGTTAACTAACACTCTTTGGCTGGATAGCATTTTATTCTCATTACCAGTTTGTTTCATAATGTATTGATATCATGAGGAGAAGTTACGTTTTGATCACTTTTACGAGATCAAGGATTTCAAGAATTAGATCGAGCTTCTTGTCCCCACAAGTTTGTGGACATGAAAATTACGTTTGCTAGGAGGAAACCTGAAACTAATAATTATCTGAAGAAAAAAAAAACTCTAATTAGGTAAGAGTTAAACAAGATAAGATTCGCATGGATTGAAGATGGCCAATTTGAAAAGTTTGCTGCTAGGTTTACAATTATGATCTGCCTCCGGTAGGAATTGTTGATGATTTCTTTGCTTCCTTTTCACCTTTTCCCACCACACGAATGATTTGGTATGTCTTTGATTCCATATGTAATTTACTCTGCAGTCACTCATTCAAGAGTTGGACTCTGAGCGCGAGAGACGATGGAAAGCTGAACAGGCTGCCAGGCGGATGGTTGAAGCCATCAAAGAGCTTCAACAGAGAGGTTTGAGTTGGGTTCTCTTGTTACTTTTTTGATCAGAAAGAGTTGACATGTATTTTTCTTCAACGTGGAAGTTTTTTCGTGCGTGCCAGGACTTCTAGGGAAGCGCAATTTTCCACGTCAGAAAAACACAGTATTCAATGTATCATCACCTTGGCATATTCGTTTTAAAATGTCTTCTGAAAACGATCAGAAGACAACTGGACGTCTGTTTCTCCTTGGTCAAGGAACGCGAAAAACACAGGAAAATTGTCTTATAACAGTGTGGGTCACATAACCGTACCAGAGAGTAGAGGGAATTTTTTTCGTTCTCTTGTTTTGTCTTTCAAACTTTTTCGGTTTACTTTAACGTGATTGGGAGGTACCTGAGTTACTTGTCTACAAGAGTGATTATCGAAGAGCTGAACCTTTCTCTGTGTCTTTAATGTCAGTTGTGACCCCCGCGATCGAGTTCCTTATCTTTCCTAATTTTCTTGTGCTTTTGTGTTTCTACTTTATAGAGGCAGAGGAGAAGAAACTAAGAGAGGCTTCTCTTGCGGCGAGCAGTCGCCTGAAGCGTGCATTACTCAAAGAGAAGGAAACTAAGGATTGTTTACAGAAATCTTTAAATGAATTGCAGGTGTGAACGTTAAAACGATTGGCGACCTTTACAGCATGTGAAAAAAAAGAATGAAAAATAAGACTGTAAAGTTAAGCTTCTTTTTTTTTAAATTGCTTGTCCCATGGAGCATGGTGACGGAATATCGTCACCATATTCCCACCAATGGCGTAGCTCCACTTTCTACATATAAATCCACACACAACCCACAATTCCTCTAATCGCTCTGACGAAGGGCTAACGCTCGAAACGTCAGCTTTTTTACCCTTTACGGTGGCTAATTTACGTTTTCAACCCAGTTGTTAACACTAAATTACCTGCTATACTCTCCCACCGACGCAGCACCACAGTTTCTTTAGAAACTTACCCCTTTATTCAAAGTAATTTGAGTCTTCTATGTTGCACGAAAGCCATTGATTTTTTAAATTTTTTCTGAATTTATTTGTTGTCAGACCCATAATGTCGGGCTGACTGAAGAGGTGAAGAGATTGCAGGAAAATGAAGAAGAACAACAAAGAGCATTGCGAGCCTTGGAACAAGCCACTACCAAGATGGAGACTGAAAAGATAAAACAACAGGCTGAAGCGGTACGTTATCGCGCAACCGTCACTGGTTTGCTATACGGCGTTTTTTTACTAAGAGTTGTAAAATCGAACGCAAGGTGGTCTCAACAGCCAATCAGTACAAAGAAATATCACAACGGCCAATCAGAACTCGAAGCAAAAGCCAGCAAACTGCGCAAAGCACTTGCCAACGTGAGTGACCGATCCGCGACTGATTTCAGTTTAGTATCTGATTGGTTGCCGAAAGCGTGATGCTAATTATCTCGACCAATCACAAACCATAGTCAAGGAAACCAACGTGAACTTGCTAATGTAAATGAGGCCTCAGAGATCAGAAATACTCAAGAAAACGATGTCAAACAATTAGTAAAACTCATCCAAAGGAGCTCAAACATTTTTAAGGTGGCTTTCAACGAAAACTTCGTTTAATAGTTGTGCTGTTTTTAAGGTCACCCAACTGCAGCAGGAGCAGATGAAAGTGGGCGCCTTAACGAAAGAGTGTGAACTGTCAAAACACTCAGTGAAACAACTGAAAGGTCAGGTCCATCAGCTACAGGAACTCCTCGCCAACAGAGAGCAGGAACACAGGTAAACTAGTTAATCCTTTAACTTCCAGAGGTGATTAACATGTAACCTCTCCCCACAATATCCATACATTCTCTAGCAAACAGGTAATGAGAATACTCAAACTTATCAGGTACAAGTTGATGTCTTGATCTAACACCAAATTCTCGCAACTTATTCACAAGAAAATGTGTAGCAGCTTGTGGGGAGAATAATGATCGGATCTTGGGAGTTAAAGAGTTAAGAGGCCAATTATACCATAATATTACCGTAACATTCCGCGGTAACTTATACCAAAGTCGATTTCCTCTGGATTTCTTTCATAAATTTTTTACCTTAATTTTACCATGGGTTACTCGGTAATTAATCCTCAGTCAGGAGACATTAGTTCTCAACAAGTCCTTAATGCTGTAATGATTAAACCGATAATTTCACGCAAACCTTAGTGATTACTATTCCTTGATGGCAGAAAAGCAGTGGAGGACCTGGTGCGAGTGGACGGGCAGGAGATGCGGGAGCTAGTAGAACGGGAGGCTGCTAAGCAAGAGGGTTTTCACCAGCAGATTATTAGAGAATATCAAGAAAAGTAAGAAAGAAACTGGTGACAAGTGACTGTTGTCTGTAGCCTTTTGATAGTCCTGACCCGTAACGAAACAGTATCTTAACATGCCCTAATTAAAGGCGAATTAGGCGGACTAAAGTATTCAGCCTGTGTAGTCGGTGTAACAACGCTGATAAAAGCTCATTAACTAGTGACTTTATAAGTTTTCGGGATATTTTCTGGCGCCATGGTAAACTTAAGTTACCGAGAAGCCGGAGACTACGAAAGATTTCATAGGTTTGACGTAAATACACAAACCTTCAGCTATGAATCAAGAAGGAATGCCTAATGGCCAAGGATGAAAAAATGAAACTGGATTGAAAATTACGAACATGAACAATTTACAATTGGATTTTTCAAGTGACTCGCCCTTTTTGACAAGTCGCACTCTTTGACTGAGGTACCGCCTGAAATTTTTCCTCAGTAGGTTTTCTTAGTATCTAGCAGCTGGGATGGCAGTGTAAAAAAAGAGCTAAATCGTGTTAGGACGTTATATTTTCTGTCTGGTTATTGAGTACATGTAATGCATTGTGCCGGACGCCCATTGCTTCATGAACCTCAGCATTTGTTTGTGGCGCCAAAGGATTCCCTGGTACGTAGATGGTAGAGTGTGCAAGGTTCGAATTCCTCGGTTCGAATCCTACATTCTAGACAAATATCCAACACCTTCTTTACGTCTTGACTCCATGACAGGTTGAACAAGCGTGATCTGGATTATGCTGCACTTGAGGACGAGTTCAGAATGGGTCTACAGATTGAAGCTAATAGGTTTAGAGAGGTTTGTAATTCTAATTAACACTTTGTAGATTACTTAGAGAATGCGTGTTAGGTCTTAAAAGAACCAAGTCTCTGTGGCAAGAATTGAACTTTTGCTGTTTGCATTTCGCACTTTTCCCAAAAATATGAAAATACTTCCATAAGTTGTGAATAGATCTCCTTCTCCTCTTTGACGGTTCCCATGAGGGATAGAAGAAAAGTGAAAGAAATCTGAGGTAAAGTTTGGCGTTCGCACTGCAGCTCAGTTAACTTGGTTGGCCAAAAAAACCTTTATTTGCGAGAAACTTTCGAGAAACCTTGTCATAGAAATTAATTCCACTTCCTTTTCCATTTCTCTGTACAAAATAGCTGCAAGAGGCGTTTGAGCGAATGAGCGATGAGCATGCGCAACAGAAGGAGGCCCTACACACAATAAAACAGAAGGAGAGCAAAGCAACTAATATGGTCAATGAACTCACAGCGGTAAGAACTTTTTGATGAATGATTGTTTGAGCTGATTGGAGGGGCTCTATTTCACTTTCCCTTTTATTTATTTTAAAGTATATAAATTTTCTGAAGCTGCTCGTCATTTTCAATCTCAAGGCCAGTCTTGGTGACGTGACGTTTTCATGATTTCAACTTAAGTGGTAACATCTTTTTAAGTATTCTTGCTTTTTTTTTTGTTCAGCAAGAATGTTTTCAAAACCCTCTATGTTCTTCGGCGATCGGTCGATGGGAGTCGGACACGCTCTGTGTACTTCGGGAAATGGACTACAAAAGTTAGACACGCTTCATTCGCTTTGAGGATAAACAGTCTTATACCCTTCGTGTGCTCTTTTTTTTTTCCAAATTTGGTTTTGTCAGCCGTGGCCACCACTGATCTTTCTATTTATTAATTTGCACATAGATGGTGAAAGAACAACGAGGGAGATTAAGTGAGCTGTCACGAGGGAGGCAAGAAATTGTCGGAGATTACAAGGTGTGGCTATGATTATCTATCCAGATTTACCCTTGGGGAAAATTTATCATCCCAGGGGTATTGCAGTGTTCCCCGTCTCATGATATCCCAATCCAATTAAGGCCGGTTACTTTTAATACATGATTAAAATTTAAACTAAAAGAAAATTCAATTTTAGGTTGAATTTCTTGTATAAGAACACGATTTATCGTTAAATTTGGTATAAATAAGCACTTGGAAATTTTTCAAAGACACCTTATGGCTTGTACACTTTTGGTGTCTTTGAAAAATTTACTCGTATTATATTTATTTACACTAAATTGCACCGGATATCATGTTATTACTTACACTAATAGCCTAAGATTAGAGTTAACCTCCAGTTGGTTTTATCTGATTTTGAGGGAAACCTGGAGGAAACAAGGTATAGACAAGGTTTTCTGTAAAGCTACCAAAGTATGTTGATGGTATTGTCTTGTTTCGTAGGAAAGAATACAAAGTTTAGAGAAACAACTTAACGAAGCTAATAAACAGTTGACGAGACTGGAAGTACTAGAACAAGTAAGTATCAACATCACAAACAAAGGGCAGAGGCTTCTTTTCTGTTTGAGCATTAATGACACAAACTCAAAGGGAAATGTTTTTCTTAAAATCAGTAAATTACTTAAAACAATTCAATTCTCATGGCAAAAGACAGGCCTATACACGAGGTAAAGCCTGGCCATCCGTAAAGACCATCAATAGCTAAGGACCAGAATGAGATTTCTATTCGCTGATGACCTGCTGTTCGTCACCTGTGCGGGTCTGCTGTAGCTCCAATCTTGGATAGAATAAAAGGAACAATCAATCTTCCTTTCCTCTCCTTCCCCCCCCCTCCACACACACACACACACACAAATTAAAGGAGCAACGATAAGACCTACGTAGAGCAGTAAAAGAAATTACAAATCACGTAATTTGTCCAAGATTGTCGATAATCATTCCTGTTTGTTTTTAGGACAAAGCTAAGTTGACGGCTCAGATACGAGCTCAAGTATCAGTCATGGAAGGCCTGAGAACCGAAAGAAAACTATGGAGCGAGGAGCTTGCCCAACAAGGTAATGGAAATGTTTGCAAAAACACCTACCTTTTAAAATAATTGATTCTCAGTAAGAGCTTTGTGCTGTTTGTTTGTCACCAGGATCGTCCCTAGCTCAGGATCGAGGACGAATGGAAGCTCGCATAGAGGCGCTGACTGCTGAAGTAGGTGAAGTGAAGAAGGAATGTCAGGTAAGGAAAGATAGAGTAATATTTGATTGAGCGTCGAATGTACTCCGGGATTGCTAAGATTTTACTTTCCTTCACTCCGGGGTTGATCAAGAAAACCCGTGCCACTTATTTAACCGATGAGATGCAAAACAAAATCCAATCGCGTGTCGGTCACTGGGGTCCTCCCGCCTTAGAGGTCGGGTTCTCATTGGTTCCCTGTTTGTATATTATCTTTATCAGCTGTTATGGTTAATTTGATTTTGTTTCTTGAAAGCTTAATCGAAAGGCGCCCTTATGAAACAAACCAATCGTCTTCACGCTCCTTTATGCATTTTTGAAGCCTTTTCTTAGTATTGTTGGTTGTTTCAGTGATGTAGAATGTTTCGAATATCAAGTTATTCTGACGTTCCTCCGAAGACACCTTCGCAAACTTGCAGCTGGCGAAAAAATTTAAAATCTTTTATGCATCCTTCTTCTTTCAGAATGCCAATGAAACGATCGCCATCAAGGCTAAAGTTATAGAGGATCAAACGGACTCCATTAGGAAGCTCAAACAGGTTAGTCCTTAATCACACACTCAGGTAGTAACTATTGATCTCTTGTCCATGATGGCAGCTTTCTCTTTTTGGTTTTAGAAAATTGCAGATCAGGACTCTGACATGCGCAAAAGGAAGGAAGATGGCGAAGCACGTGAGAAAAACCTTGAGGAACAGCTAGCTGTTGAGACATCAGCAAATCAGGAGTTGCAAGTGAGGTTCTTTGTTGGTAGAATGAGAAAGTTACTCTCACAGACCGCTTACTTAAACCTCATTTGCTATGACTCAATTCTTTTGTTATCCCATCATTGGAGAGTCCAAAGGGTTCAAGTTGATTGGTCAAGAAATCTCGTGACACGTGAGCCAATGAGACACAATACTAAAACCAGTTGCAGAGTGTGCACTTAAGTTTTCCCGCGCTTGAAGCGGCGTACTTGTATTTTCTTTGAATTCTCATTGGCTCCTGTTGATATCGACCTTGTTCTGATTGGTAGTTGCGATAATATTTGTTCCACGACACTTAGTCGTAAGGCGCTTTGTGATGCTACAACTTTTGCTTTTGTTAAACGTTAAAGGAACAATTGGATGGACTTGTGGACCGAAAGGAATCACTCAAACAAGAACTAAGGAAAACACAGGAAGAGTTGGAGACCAGTAAGGAAAATCACAGGTATGTTATCTGGTATTACATCTTTGAAATAAACTGTGTTCAAAAATGGACACAGTTATATTTTAGGACAACAGAAGAGTTTCGCAGTACTTCGTTTTATTTTTAAAGCATCCGTTTTATGTTTAAAGCATCAAGGAGGCGAAGAACTGAGGCGCATCTGCGAGTTTCTCATCTTTATACGTAATATTTGACCTCTTGTGTTGGTAAACGGAAGCTAAAGTAAATGGAGGCTTTTCAATGTAAAATTGTACTTGTTACTTGTGATCTAAATGTCATCTGATCTACAACAGGATTTTGAAAACAAAATGGCACGAAAAGAGTGAACTAATAGGCAAGTTGGAAAAGGAAGTTGTTGAGATGCGAAATAACTTAAGAGGAAAGGAAAAAACTTTAATTGAAGAGAGAGACAAAGCTGTGAAGGCGGCCGAGTAAGTATTCCGATTTTTTTGCTAGCTTACTGCTTTGAACGAAACAACCTTGCCAAGTGAAACAAAGCTAGCTCTAAGGGGAGACAAAAGCTTTGTTCGTATTGTTGTTACAGTTATTCGTACTCAAGAACTCCAGGAAACTTAAAGCGCATAGGATTAAGTGTGGATACACCAAGCGAAAGTAACAACATCAGTCAATCAGAAGAGGGAAGAATAAGACAGGCTGTCGGGAAATGCGAGTGACTGAAAAGTGATTGATTTTAGTTTGATTGGTAGATCTGATTGGTTGAGAGGGAAGTGCAAGTTTTTTTTTGACCAATCGCAAAGCGAACTACATACGAAACCAAAGCAATCCGGAATTACTTTCGGCGCTTTTTTAAACATGACTCTAACCAGGTTGTCAGCCGATGTCTTTGCTGTTACCTTTTTTTTTGTAACCATACGACTTTTTCCTTTTTCAAAACGCTCAGTTCCGCCGTAGAGAGGTTAAAAGTCTGTGATGATGCTTTCCGCAAACAGCTCGAACAAGAACGACGGGCGCACGAGCAACAGCTTCAGACACTGGCCAACGAAAAACAGCAGGAGGTAGAACGAGCTAATAACAGGGTAAGGAAAGAAAGTGAAAAATCTTGTTGATCATCACAACGGTTGTATATCCGAGGCACGTCTTCTTGAATTAAATTATGATCGTTTCATCTTTCCTAAAAATATGGCGGTGTCCCATGAAAATCCAGATAGGTCTCATTCCGTGGAAATCGAACGCTTGCGTGGAAGTGTCATGCACTTTTGACCCGGAAGGCGCAAAAAACCGGGCTATGTTTAGAGCGGAGAAAATCGGTCTGGTAGGGACGAACCCCATAGACTTTATTCTGATAATCTTTGTGGTCAGGGCCCATTGAGCGCCATTTCGCTGCGACAGGGCTTTTCAACAAACCGCTTTTTGAGCACTGCTTAAAAAAACCCGAATCGCTTTCATTCGTTTAAACATTGCGATCATTGCACAAATTCAATCAATTTAGTTTTTGGGCGCCTTGTTGGGAAAAAAATAGTTTTGTTCCAGGAACAAATGCTCTCACCAAACATCATGTAATACAAAGCGAAGTATCGCCACGTCTTATTCAAACCACGTATTGATATGTGAACCTTTTCCTTTAAACTGTATTACCACTATTTCAGTCTAGTGCCGAAAAAAAAAGAAACGGTAAGGTTGTGTTTTTCTCTTCCTTTTTTCGTAGGTCGTGGAAGTGGAAGATGAGATGCGCATACTTCTACAAGAGAATGCGCTGACCAAGAAAACTTTAGAGAAACGTCTGCAGAAACTCACATCTGCTTTCACTGAAATCCAACATGACTTAGCTAGAACGTGAATGTGCTACAATACTTTCAACAAATTGTAAATATTTTTCGTGAATATTTTCGAGAAAAACAGGTATGTGAATTATGTATGTAATAAACGATAACATAAATATAACGGCAGTTTTATCAATGTTTCTTCTGGTTAGTAACGGGAAGTGACTGAAAATGATACGAGAAAGAAAAAAACGAGGATCCGTGACGGTCTCTGATCACGCAAAGGGCTTTCAAATGGCTGGCGCTCATCGTAATCAATTCGAATTCATCTGAATTCGTAGTTCAGTCGTGGGTACCTTTTTTAACACACATTAAAGCTCAGCACTATTCGCGATACTCAAAGAAACTTCAAAATTAGAATTGGGCCTGCTAATTTGACCAATATCAGTTCGCAGATTAAACAATAGATATAATAGAGCTGAAATATAGTGTCACATTCCAAACTGTCTCATCGATCTATTGTTACATTTCGTACGTTTGTTATAAGCAACCTCCCGTAAATGACCATCTCTCCTCTCCTCACTCCGTCACCCACGATCGAAAACCATTCTCGCGAGCGCCTAGTCTTAGTCACAGACCCGATGGTGTCCTCTACGAGGACTTACAATGTATTTAAAATTGCTTCTTTTTTATTTCTTTACTCGAAGGAAATCCTAATGCTGTTCGTTTAAGTTCAAAGTGCTTTTTTCATTTGCTCAGGTGTAAACAAATCATAGCCCTCCACCCTTCCTAATAGAACACGACCTCCAAAGAAAATCCGTTTTAATCAAAGAGCATAGTCGCAACCATTAGGTAACATAAACCTCTCTACTTTTACAATATTTTTTTTTCTCTCATATCTATTTTGAAAATTCAACCTAACAGGCCGTGCAAACGGAAGTTAAATTCTTCATTTTATAGAGTATATTAAAAAAAAAAAAAGGAAAATTTAATTCTTATTATTTTCGCTATTTCTTGATTCAAAATAATACCATGCGCGCTCAAGTAGATTTATGTACTCAAAGGAACGAGTTGATACAAGTCTCGCCGCGGGACAACGCGCAATAGAATGAAATAAAATTGTTACAGTATTTTTCTACCCTCTGAAGGTTATTTCATTTTAGTATATTTACACCTTAATTTTACTATTCGATCACCAAACGTAATATAATCTATAACGTCTCGACCTGGTTGCAGATAATTCACTATCAATTGTCTTTTACCACTACAGAAATGGTAATATGCAAAGGGGCCGCTTGGCTTGCCAACGATCTCGCATTTGGAAACTATTAACTTACTTAGTCGAGAAGACCTCAGATAAGAAAACCGTTTTGTAAGCCCAATTCAGACCACGCGTGGTGTACCTGGCTCGGAGTCAACAGAGACCAACAAAGGGCCAGTGCACGGTCACACGGTGGTTTTCAGGGATACGGCTATTTCTTTTCCTGAGCATCGTCTTTTTTTTATTTTTTTTTGTGAGCATACAAATTTGCTCTTTTCTACTGACTTCTTCATTGAGAAAAGCTAGGAAACCTGGGACAAGCTCGACCATGTGATCTTGCTTGAATTTTCATTTCTCCATCTTACAATGATTTATACTCATCTGTATGTAACTATTTTGAGAAAGACAAAGGAGCCAATGGAAGACTATAGTGCAGTCAAGTGGTCTGAATTGAGACAAGAAACAGTCGAAGATAAGAATACTATTCAATAAACCTTTAAGTAGCTGTTCATGTAGTAGTTTGATGTACGGATACCAAACGTTAACACAAAATTTCAATCATTCCACGGAAGATTTTCAATGGTTAACTATAGCCGTGGACATTTGCAGCCATTAACTAAGATTCCTATTTCGTATGGCTTGATCAACAACCATTCAACAGAACAAGGATTGGAAGCCCATATATGTTGTACCACAACCCCACTGACCATAGACGAACCACCACGGGCTCAAATAATTAACGAAATCGAGGCTCCTTTCCATCTGCTACGCATTGGTTTGAACTGTGAATGTTTAATCCGTTCAATCAACACCAACGTTTTGCTCCATTCCTTGAGATAACGTTCCACTTGTCAAACAAAAAACTGGAAATCCCTAGGAGGCTCTTTGCGTCTTGCAAGCGTTCTTAATACCATTTTCCTGATCTCGTCCACAAGAAAAACAGAGGAGGCTACACATAGTAACAAGAAAATGTCCATACAATGTAGAGCTTCGGTGAGAAACACTGCTTGAAGAGGAGGAAAGTAAATAACTAACATCTGTCCCATAAGAGATCCGCCTACAGCGTACAGGAACATACGGTTTGTGAAGAAACCAATTTGAAAAATAGACTTCACCTGTCAATCAATGGAAGAAAGTGGTCAGACCAGTGTTAGGATTAAACCAGAAGGTTGTGTACACCATAAAATCTTAAAAAAAAAAAAAAAAGAAAGAAAGAAAGAAAGAAAGAAAAGAAAGAGACTGTTAAAAAAAAAAAAAAAGACTGAAGATGTCTCACTGCACAGCTTGCCAAAGAAAAAAAGTCCCCCCCCCCCCCCAAAAAAAAAAAAAAAAAAAATTGCTATTGTTTGAGCCACCTTCTGCAACATTTGGCCCCCTAAAACTTCCGCCCATTTCAGAAGTTGTTCGTTTGAGTGCGAAATCTGCCAGGCCCTCCTAAAACGGTTCATCAATGGTCGATTTACTTGATTTACTTCCGGAAAGCACGGTGAGACGTGTGCGGGATTAGACCCAGGAAAGTCTGAATATTTGGAATATGGAGTAAAATCCGATAACCCTAATCTGCCGCCAGAGAAGCTTTTACAGGCTTAGCTTATATGTTGAATTTGAGCGTGAAACTATTAATAATTGGCAAGAACATTAATGGCAAACGAAGTACTAACCTGTGAACGACAGCTGAGCGCGTTGAACATGTCAAAGAACACAAAGCACGTGAATGTCATGGTGGTATCACGTGGAGTGATGACGTTATCTCTCATCTACAACAGAACAGATTGATTTGAACTAGAATCAACAGTGTCCAAAAGCAGAAACAGCCAGTTCTCTCTACTGGAAGGCGATATTCTCAAGCGCAGAAAAGTGGCATCAAAACCATTCTACAACGGCCGCTTTTTCTACCAAATTAAACCAGATGTTTTCGTAAGGCCACCGATACACCAAAAGAATTTGGTGGAACAGATCTCGGAGCTTACTTATTCCATTCTCAAGTCACAAAAATTCACATTCTGGAGAGGTTCAGAGTTTTAAGTTTTGCTTTCACTGAAGCTGAATTTCAGGGAAAATAACATTGATTTTTCCAAGTTCTTACTAGCAACGTTCTTGAGAGTTTTAGAGCTTTTCCCACAAGTGACGACTTAAACTAACTTGTGCAAAACATTAGTACATTTTACACCTAACGGACAGCACCTTATCTTTTAACTCCCAGGATCTGAATACTAATTCTCCCTTGAAACTAATATACATTTCTTTGCGAACTAGTCAAAAGAATTTGGTACTTTATCAAGATTCATCGAGATAGCTTGTTCAAATTTCGAGGGGATGTTCCATGGTAATCAGCAAATAGGAACTCAAGGGTTAAGACCGTACCTCTCTCCAAAAGACCCACAATGTACCAGTCACTATCAGGCTCGCAGAGAGGAGAACGTTCGTTATCAAAGTCTTGGTAATCATTGGGTTCTTGACATTCCGTGGGGGCTTATTCATGACGTCACGATCAACCGGCTCCACGCCAAGACTACAAACAACGGAATAAGACCTTGTTAGCACGAAGACGAGCGGAAGATTTTAGCAAGGTAACTTGCTCTCCATTGAAAAGGGTTTCAATAACTTTTTCCAATCGCGGCTGCGATAGTGTAATAGGCGGCACGAGGCCAGTAAAGAGGCCCAAATATGAAAGCCTGCTCGCAAAGGACAGCGGTACTTAGAGGCGGCGGTAACCCGCCAATAACCGACTTCTATTGAAACACCTGCATTTAGGTATATTACAAATCGTGCTCAAAGATTGAGTACGGCGCTAAGTTGCAGTCAGAGTACAGCAACGGAGAAATTCAGATTCCTCACCTCTGAGCGGGTGGACCATCCATTATGATGTTAATCCATAAAATCTGCATGGCATTTAGAGGATTAGGTAACTTGAGAAACGTCGATATTGTTATCAACGAGATCGCTGCAATGCTCCTACACATGGGAAAAAATTTTATAACATTGAGATGATTTCAACTGAATGCAGTTGTACTGACGTGTTCTTCAACCTTTTTTTTTTCCAAGCCGAGGAAGATTCACTCAGATATGCAACTCTGTTTCCAGGGTCAATGAGCGGGAACAAGAGAGACTCTGGGAGCGAGCTTACCGAATTTGAGGCAAACCTTAGAAGGCAGTTCCTGATAGGACTTCGTGCCGTATATTAATTGCCTATTTCAAATAATGTGAAAAAACTCAGTACTTTGATACTTTCTAAGTATGAAATCAAAGGTGCACACAGGGAAGAATAAGAATAACTTCAAAGAAAAGCATCCATCGAGTCACATGATCTGTAACGGCACACAAAGTCACTGATATCTGTACCGCGCACAATTTGATTGTGCATGCTGCACGTAAAGAAATTCGGGTTTTTCTTTCCGGCCAGAACGCATTCGAGATGTAAATCGTACTTACGTGCTTAGCTGGAAGCGGACAAAGTTGCGTATGTTGTAAAATATTCCTTTCCCTTCCTCAATAGCAGCCAGGATGGTAGAGAAATCATCATTCACTAACACCATGTCTGACGCTTCCTTGCTCACGTCAGTCCCTGCTCGGCCCATGGCTACTCCAATGTCAGCTCGGCGCAGAGCTACTGCGTCATTTACGCCGTCACCAGTCATAGCCACCACATGATCACGCTGCTGTAGGGCCTACGAGGAAACATGGGTAATTTGTTACAAGAAGGACTACATTAGAATTAGGCGCTTATAAACTAAGAGCCACAAAGCCGAAACGAAAGTAATCGCAAGGACAAATCGGACAAAATGCAAGCGTCACAAAGGGTCAAAGGAAACTCCATGTAAGTATAAGTTAATTGTCACTGATTACTTGAGAGGGTGGTGCTAGTTTTCGAGGCCAATCACAACGTAGCAGAGTCAAACCACGGTAAAAAATGGTTTACTTTCGACACGCAATTGAAAATTTCTCTTAAGCCTGAGCGCCCGTAG